CGGGGCATGCTTCATAGCCCCTGGACCTTCAGAGCCTTTGAACCCACACTTTTGGGTCATGCTTCATAGGCTCGGGCCCACCCTTTCAGGCCATGCTTCCTATCCTATGAACCCACCTTTCGAGTTGGATATAAGTCCCGTGGGCATTCCTTCCTAGCTTATTCAGGTCTTATGCCTAATTACTCTGCTAGGTTGGATATCGGTCTCAAAGCCTCCCCCTAGACTGCAAGCTTTGTGCCTTGGTCAGAAGATAGGATTGGATGTGAATCCGAGTGTTTTCCCTCTGATATGATCTCTCTGGTTGGCCTTCAAGTTGATATAAGTCTCTGAGCATTCCTTCTCAATCTAGCCGACATGTTTGTATTCTGAAATTAGATGGGAGCCCCCGAGTTTTCCTTCCTAGCGTACACGGACCGACTCTTTTTGGTTGACTGGGTTATGTCGCTTACATGAGTAACACTGGTTCGATCAAAAATTGAGTTATTTACAACAAGTGCACTGTGTCTTAACGGCGCAGCACACATGTTGTGGTTCGTTTATTGGGATCAATTTTTTATGCCACAAAGGTTTAGACGCTCTTTCGAATGTTATGGGAGCATGTAGCATGCATATGTAACCTCCATTAGCTCGAGGACTCCATAAAACCATCCCGCTATAAAGTTGGAAAGATCAAGTTTCAAGGCGTCGCACCCAGATCGTAATTCGGGGCTCTTGTTGCCATTGAACTTCTGGATGTAAGGCCTATGTAAAAGCATATTTTTAGAAGTTATGGAACTATATTTCAATCATATTTAATGCCCCATAGCTTATAGATCGCCAAAATCATTTGTCTGACAATTTCAGCGAAATTCAGGATTTTTGGGCCAGATTGGTGCCTGGTTGCCAATCTTGGGCACCTTGGCGAATGTAACAGCCCAAAAAAAGCTGAAAACTAAGAGCCTCGAAAGTAGACGCTCGGCCCCGGGCACCTAGATATCAGGCACCTGAATCTACTCCAAAATATAGTTATCCAGCGGATGGCGCCTAGGCGGCAGACCCCTGACAGCTAAGCGCTTGAAACCAGTCCAAATAGCGTTTCAAACTCGAGAGCACAAAAATTAGACGCCCGGAGGACGGCGCCTAAGCGCCAGACTGTTTTTCACTCTCAATTTTCCTCGAGATTTCCACCCAATCTCCTCCAATGCATCCGAAAATCCAGATCTCCTTGGCTGAAGTGAAAATATGCATGGGGGCAATTTAAAGGGGCTTAGGTGGCCATTTTGGGCCACTAGGAAGCCTTTCGAAAACTTGAACAACATGTCATGTTAGACAAAAAAAGGAGGAAAAGAAAGGGGGATGGTTACTTCTTCCCTTTTAGCTTCTCCTGGGGATTTTCTGGTTTGGTTTTTGGGAGAGCCTCTTCTTCTCTTGTTATCTTGAGGATAGCTCGAGTCATCTTCTTCCTTGAAGTTCAGCTAGTCTTCTTCCTTGGAGAAGATTTCTTAGAGGCTAGTCTCTCTTGAGTTGGAGAGTTCTTGAGCAAGAAAAGTAGGGAGCTTCATCATCTACTTCATCTTCTTCTCCCAAAACTCATTTTCTTCCACTTAAACCTCTTCTTTCTCATCTTATTCTGCTTTCTCCACCATTCTTTGAGTGTGTGAAGGAGCTTCCTTAGCGAAGTTGCGCGGTGGAAGAGAGGAGAGTTTCATCCTTCCTAAGGAAGTAGGAGAGCATCATCTCTCCCAAGGAGGAAGGAAAGCTTCTTCCTAGCAAAGTCAGGGCGTGGACAACTAAAGAGAATGCTTTGAGCAACCACCGCATAGGTAAAGGACTCCTAAAACTCTTGTTCTTCATTTTTTTGAGCCACTAGATCTGGATGTTAGAGGAATTAGGTTAAGGTTCTTGTGTTAAAGAAAAACCCTATAGGGTGAGGTGCTTTACTTTCTCCCTACGAATCCAAAGAGCAAAACCTACCCACTTTGAGCCAAGTTGTTCCTTCTGACACTTCATCAATGTCGTCTCGTATGGCCCGATTGTGGATAGGTCGTCGCCCATTTGGGATACGACAACTCACCATATACACTTATCGCTCGATTAGGCCTTGGAAACATAGTGTGGACCATATTTGATGACATGGTTATTTTATAGGTCTCCATTACCGAAAAGTCATCATCTGTAAGGTATCGTGAGAGACTCACTCTCTGCCTGCATGGCTTGGTGTGAGTTTTGAAAACGTCGAGATGCTCATATGAAACAACTATCCTTTGTGACACCCTTAACTAGTCGCCCTTAAAAGTAAGCAGGACTCATTTAATCAAAAATATTATTGGGCATCGTCCAAGATGTAATTAACCAAATGGGATACGTCCATTTGGGAGTGCACTTAAACTCATGACAAATAAAATTCGGTTCTCAACTTAATTGGGTAGCTTACATAGCTATTTTTTAGTTGATATTCAGCTCAAGGTGTATCGATCTGATTCTTTTTGGACGTACGCTCTTCACCTAACGCATGAGGTTTACTTAACATTAACTATTGAGGTTCTTTCTAAATTTGTCTGCCTAGTCTTCGTCTTAATTCCTTCATTCCTGATTTCTTATCTTATTGGAATCATTATGATGATTCAAGTAAATGGCTCTTTAGAAAAGAGAATCTTAAGACAATAACTAAATAGGTTGTCAACTTCAATTATTACAAAAAGAACTAAAAGAAGCATCATCTCCGAGTTGTCCACAGAATCCTTCACTACTTAAAAGGCACACCAAGCTCAGATTTTTTTTTCTCGAGCCACACCTCTCGTTCTATTATTATTTATACAAATGTGGAATAGGTCGGGTTCGTCCATGATTGGTGATCCACCTCAAAAAATTGCTCATTTGTGTAGAGAAATCTTGTCATGTTGAAAAGCAAAAAAACAATTGGTTGTGGTCCGGAGCAGTGTTGAAGCTGAGTTTCGCTCTCTGTCTTTGGATATCTATGAAGCTCTCTAGTTACGCATCATGCCCAGGGAATTGCGTATGCTAGTCTCTGCACCTCTCCAACTGTTTTGTGAAAATAAAGCTTTCATTAATATTACCCATAATACAATCCAGCATAATCGAACCAAACATGTGAAGATTAACAAAGCACTTCATTAAGGAGAAACTCGATTCAGATGAGATTTGTATTTCATTTATCTCATTTAATGGTCAATTAGCAGATATCCTTACCAAGAATCTTCCTCGGTCATTGTTTCATTACTTCAAATCCAAATTGAACAAGATGAACATCAATGTTTCAACTTGAGGGGGAGTATTAGAATTAGCCTAATTTATTAGGCTAATTATGACTGTAGTTACTTTATTTGCTTTTACTTAATTCCTCTATTTCTGTTCCATATTGTGTATTTTCTAGTTGGTTTATTTCTGAATTTATGTCTTTCCTTTATTTGGATATTGTAATATGTATTTATATCTCTCTTCCTATCAATAAATGTATACAACCCAATACTCTAAAATCAAACATTTATTTTACACATCTAAGGCCTGATATTACATTATTTTAGTAATAGAAGAATATATTGTTGTTGCACCAAAGATCCTAAAGTATTTAGAAGGATGTCAAACGAAAGGGTCTCTCTGAAAAGGGGGAATTTCAAGGAACTGAGGCAAGCAATGGTATTGATTGGGCAAGTTCCATAGTTGATAAGAGATAGACATCAAGAAAATGTACTTTTATTTTGGGGTAATCAGGTGGCATGGAGTAAGAAATAATATGCTATAGAAAAAGTAGTCAAAAGTTGAACTAAGATGTATTTTTATTTGTGCTGAACCAGGTGGCATGGAGTAATTAATAAAATGTTATAGTTAAAAGCAGTGCAAATACTGAACTAAGATCAATAAAGTAATGGGGCTAGTAAATTAATCCAGCTAAAACAACTCCTTAAAGTTAAAGTCATTTCTAACATGCCAATACAACTTTACTGTGATGAAATTGTTGTCATAAGTATTGCCCATAATCCTGTGCACCATGATTAAACTAGAAATGTGGAAGTTGATCGGCAAATGAAGATGGTAAACTTAACATTTCCTATTTGCATTCTCTAAACTACTTGTTGACATTCTAATTAAAAGATTAACAAAATGGCTGTTGGAAAAAAATGCTAGAAAAGCTTTAATAATTTGATGTTTATAATCCCACTTGACGGGGAGTGCTGAAAACCCCATTTGGACCCTTCGCTCAACCTCATGCTCATGATCCGTGGGATCGCGCCCTTCCTCATTTGGGTTCCTGTCTTTCTTGTTGTCCGGGATCCGTGAAATCCATTCCATATGGTTAAGTGTTTATTTCTCCTCTACAAAAGAAGAAATTTATTCTCCCATCAGTTCACAGACACTCTATTTGAATAGTGCTGAATCGTGTGGACTGAGTTTCTGGAATGCAATCATTTCCTGCAGTTTTCATTGTTCAAACCATCACGGGCTGCATGGCAGATTTCTGCATTTCCTCTTTCACTAATTCCGAGTATACTAGGTTATTTAAAGCTGTGTGCTCTCTCTCCCATCACAATAACGTATCTTCTTTGGTCCATCCTTTTACTTTTTGCATCAGTTGCAGCAGTCTTCTTTCCAAAAAGTGCTGGTTAAAATATTGTTATATAAACAAAACCTCCGTCATTGTTGAGCAAGGGAAAAATATATATACTTCCTCTTATTCTCTTCCACTTCTCATTTCAACAACTAAATAGACATATAATAAAAACTCAAGGGTTTTAAACCTATAATCAAAGAAAAGTCTCTCTTTTAATTTTCAGCTGACCAAACAGAGTAAAATGGATTAATATCAAATTATGGCAAGACCGTCCATAGTTTTTTAAGTTTCAAAAAACAAAATGTATAGTTATGTTCAGTTTGATTCAATTCTACATTACCATGATTTAATTTGTTATCAAACCATAAATGCATAGTAGCATTATTTAGCAAGTAGCAGTATTACATGAATATTTAAAAATGATACAGCCGAACTACTGACGATGTGTTACCTGATGTAAAAAATTTCGATGTGAAAGCATTACACCTTTAGGCGTGCCACTTGATCCACTCGTATACATGAGCGTTGCAATATCATCAGGTTCAATGGTTTCAAACGTATGAAATTCACCTGTAGAGTATTAGTTAAAATTTGCCACTTTACAGCTACGAAAATTTGTGCATCAGCTACATCAGGAAATTCGCTTGCTTTCATTAGAAATACATTGCAACATATTGAAATGAAAAACTCTTTGAGAAAATTGTTTTGGTGGTATGCACTATTCCTAGAGATACCCCAACGTATACATGGGTAAAGAGCAAACTCCTTCAAGGTAGATTAATAAATATGCCCTTCTTCAAATATAGAGAGCTTTTATATTTTAGTATTATCTTACATATTGTTCCCATTTGTTTTAATATAGAATCCCCCCAAATAACTTAAATACATAATGATTGTTACAGTGCAGAACGATATATTGTATAACAAAAGATTAAACACTTCTAAGAGAATATTTACCCACATCAATTCACATGCATAATGTGCCTGACGAGAGGGCGCGGCAAGTGTGAGTGACACGTGATCATTTTCGCGCAACCCATTCTTTCGCCTGGACCAAACCGGCCTAAGTTTTCTCCCTTCTGAGGAGTCAGTCAGTCCTCTTGGGCCACTCTTAGTTATCCTCTTAATATATATTTGTATGTTTGATGTTCTAGGCTTAGTTTTTGGCGTGAGTTTGTTTGGGGTAGCCACTGGCATCCATTTCTCCCTTTGAAGGATGTATCCGAGGGATTGGATGGTGCCCTAGCTGTATCTCTCTCTCGAAGTGGTAATATCTTCTCTATCCTCTTCCAAATCCGCCCCACATCGCTCCTAGTCGTCGTATCTCGCTGCAGCCACCTACAACAACATTCTGATTTTAATTTTTTGTAGTTCCAGCACAATCATTGCCTTCCCCTCCCTCTTCTTCGCTCCCAAGGTGATTCCAACCCCTACTTTTGTTGTTCCAACCACCTACAACCCATTTTAGCCATCTATTTCCGCTCCCCAACCACCTAGCCAACCACCACCACCCATGGATCAAGCCTTAGTGTGAGTTTGTGTCGTGTCTGTTGCAATTTTTATTTCAAGTGTATTTGATTGTAACCGCATAGTTACATTTACTAATAATATTTGGTTTCCCAATAGAGGTTTGGGTTAACTCCGATATCATTTGGTATAAGAGCAAGTCTAATCCTAGTCCTATCTTAGGTTTTCTAGCATCAAAAAAACCAAACCTATCTCCACCTAAAATTTTTCTTTCTCACCCCACATCACCATTAAACACCTTCCACCTACCCAAACCAAAAACTTAATCATGCCACCAAAGAAATAACCGATGGAAGTCTGATCGAGGGGAAAGAATACACAACCATTTATGAGAAATTTACAAAGACGTGTTTAGGGGATTTTTGGGGAGGATATGCAATGGAAAACCCACACCAACTACAACAAAGTATTATCACCTTCAAGATGAGGCAATTCGAAGGGATCAGTCCTAGCCATGTCAGTAACTTGCTAGATCAAAAGAATTGAGTGAATCTCTTCCACCATGTTGATTCTAGGGATGAAGAATCTCTTCCTCAAAGATGTGACCTAAAATATCTGAGAAGATAGAATTTCAAAGTAAATGTGAATTTGTTATATTTAGACGGTCACATGGATCTAGACCAATTCATTGAGTGGCTTTGGACCTTGGAATGTCTTTTTGAGTATCCATGTTAGTGTCACTAAAATAAGGCACTCTTCTTTAACTTGTTAGTGGCTAGTTTCTCGCAAAAATTGAAATACCTACGTCATCGCGAGGAAAAATACAAGATCACTATTTGATCTCAGATGAAATAGGAGATGCGGTGATGGTTCATACCTACTCAGGTGAAGAAATAGGAGATGCGGTGATGGTTCATACCTACTCACTACATACCTGATGTTCTGACGTCAATTTCAAAAGTGGAAAGACCACATCACCGAGCAACCACCACATCTTACAGGCAAGGTTCAACCCCATAAACTTACAGCCAGAGCATACCTAGAAGAACACCCAAGCTAATCCCGTCTGAGGAGAAATTGATTCAGAGTAGAGAATATGGAGAGCGAACCAGTATTTCTAAATATGTTTGAGCTAGAAAGTGTTTCAAGTGTCACAGATTTAGGTAGCATATTGAAGTAGATTGCACAAACTGGGGAATGATATATTTCACTGAGCAGGGAGGTGTTAAAGAAAGGGGTAATGACAATGATGTAGTAAACACTGAAGAATGCTAGGACACAAAAGAGCAGGGCCAGATCCCATATGATTAAGGAGAAAAGCTTCAAGTTGAGGCCATAAGAGAAACTCAAATAGAATTGACATTGGTGATCCAAGACAGTCCTAAGTATGAGGAACCGACACCAGACACCCGGCAACCCCAGATAAGAGAAATTGAAACTTTTCAAATAGATAGGATCCTTCCTGAGTGCCCCTGCTGAGGGAATCAATATGTCAGAGATAAGCTCTTTAGTGCCAATTCTGAAACAATATATGGAGTCAGTTGGGTATCAAAACCTTTTCAGCAATGTATCCCCAAATAGATGATCAATCGAGATGCATGAACCACAACTTCGAAAATTGTCCTAGGAGTTCGAGGGAGAAGAAAGTTCTCTAATGGGATCCAAGGTCTATCAATGAAGAAGAAGATGTCTCTCCTGAGCAGTTGCTAGTGAGAGTTGTGTCGTCTGACACAGATTAATCCTAGAGTTGATTTCTCCTCACATATTTATTTATCAGCTACATTTCGCAGAGTACGATAAGGAGAAGAAGGTTCTCGACTTAAGAGCTTGAGAGTAACATCGTGGGAACCTACATCTATATGTAGCACCAGCTCAGGATGTGCCAAAAAATATGCTTATTTATTCTATCAAGAAGTGTTGTGGAAAGCAAGTGCCTACAGGATCAACTTGTCAGGAGATTTTTTCATTCATAATAACTTCAGTGAGGCCAACCTGACAGCTATGAGGAGAAAGAAGCTTTGACATATGAGGTCAAACCTTTACCAAACTCGAGTGACTAACAAAGGGGCACCATGTCAGGCACAGGGATGCCTAAGCCCGCTCAGACACGACAAGTTATTCCAACCACCTACAACCCATGGATCGAGCCCCTTCTTTTGTTTTTCCAAGCACCTGCCGCGTGATTCCATCCCCTCCTTTTGTTGTTCCAACCACCTACAACCCATTTAAGTCATCTATCTTTGCACCCCAACCACCTAGTCGACCATCATCCATGGATCGAGCCTTTGTGTGATTGTGTGGTGTGTTTGTTGTAATTTCTATTTCAAGTGTGTCTGATTGTAATCGTCTATTTTCTTTCAATAATAATATTTTATTTTTTTATTGTGGTTTGGGTTAGCTCCGATATCAAGACCATAGCTTTAAATTCATCCCCAACACTAGATCTGACCATAATAATTTGTTTCTTTCCTTTTAAGTGACAATCTATTACAGAAGTTGAGAGGATTGTTTCTCTTAGCTTTAAGTTATATGTTTCGCTTGAATATTTTGATTTTTATACTATTTCTTAGGTACTTATGTATATTCTAATGTTAACATAAAATCAAAATGAATTGTGATGGGATTCAAAGATATATTGATAATTAGCATCTCTATGATTGAAATTTTTTTCAATATGGTCACTACCAACTATTGCACTTTGTTATTTGAACTTTAACTCTTGCTTGCTTGCTTGGAAAAAAACAAGTTCATAAGTTCATAATCATTGCATGCTAGCAGTATCAAGGTATCTAAACAAATGCATTATAATACAAGTGATTTAGAAGACACCATAATTTAAAACTAAGGATTTGTTTGTGGCAGCTACAGCTTATTTAAAAGTTGTTGCACAACAACTGTGGCAGGAAGCTGCAGCGCATAAGTGCTACGCATAAGCTGGTTGCCTGTTTATTTTTTACAATTTCGAAATAGTTATCCTGCAGTTTTTTCTGAACAAATAACATTTATGCCCCTATACTATAATGTTGTTTATTTAAAAATTGTTCATACTTAGCACATTTCATACTTGAAAGCAAATATCCAACTCAAAGATTACAAAATAAAAATAGTCACCTCATTAAACAGTGAGTAGCACGACAATCAAAATTAAAAAAGAACTACTAAAAAATAATTTATAATATGATAATATTATTTTTTAAATGCACTTGGTTTGTCACGCGATAAACCGTCCTCCAAAGAAACTCTCCATGTCTAATCACTATCAGCGGTGGAATCCTCCAACTGATATGCCCACCAAAAGAAGTCGCAGCATCCTGCTCTTCTCCTCAAACATCAGTAAAATTGTTTCTCATAGTTATGTTGATTTCACGAAGTAAGCAAAGAACATTGTAGTTCGTAACAACAGTACAATGCTCTAGAGGTACTAGAAATACTTAAACTCATCTTTCTTGAAGGCTTAAAACCACAAAGCAAAGACCGTTAAACGCAACATTAGTGAAAATGATTAATAAAAGTAATAAATTAAAGTTTTATGTAGCTGTGAGGCCTCAAAAAACATAGTATATAAACCAACGAATCTGTAACTACAAGAAGATAGCTGACCTTATTAAAAAAAGGGTTTTTGGTTGCCTTTAACTCACGTAATACCGAGTTCGTCTGTGTCATATATGCATATCACCAAAAAAATATCATTCAGAAGAACTTTTAAGATCAAATGTCTCATCATAGATTTCCAAAACCAAAAAAAACATGCAATAAAAAATTACATTACATATATCCACGGTGGCCTCATCGGCCATTCAGGTGGGAAAGAATACATACATAAAAACTAAAAATAAAATTGAGATTCAAAATATTTATCACTAGTATAAAAGTACTGATACAACAAACAATAACTATTTCTATAACAAATTACAAATAAAGTAGCAAGAAAAAAACAGATGTTCCCTTTATTCAGCCTCCAACAATAGTATCTATAATTCGTTCCCTCAACTCTATCATCTCGCTTGCCCCTTCACCATCCTATTTGCAAGTCTCATGCAAATCAATTTTGGATTGTGATAAAGATTGTCTAAGGTGATATTTGTATGCTTCAACACAGACAT